TTAGTGCTCCCCGGATCCAAAATGATAAGCAAAAAGATTCCTCTGTGGAAATTAGTGTAACTTCAGGTGCTTTCTTCTCTGAACTCGAGGTCTGTCTGTTACAGGAAATTATTTAGTGATTATAGTTGTGTGCTTGTTCATTTCTTTTATTAACAAGAAGATCAAGATGGCTGAATTTGTGCATCCCTGCTCCGGTGTTAAAAGGAGGGGAGTTTCATTTAGGATGCTTGGGTAGGGAAAGACTGGGTTTATAGCGGTGATTTCACATGCCCTTACAAATTTTTCAAATCCCTCTTAAAAGGAAGTCCCTAGCCATTCCACAGTTACCCTGCAGCCTCCTGCTGCTGCTCAGCCCACTGGCCTGGGACAGCCAGGTTGCACGGGAGGCTTGCACCTGGGACCTCTTTTTTTTCTTTTGGTAACATTTTTTTTTTTTAAAGGCAAAAATTCTGAGCAAGCTGTCACACAGATTTGCTTGAAGTACCGTGAAATCATAAATGCAAGATTGTTGTAAAGAGAGTGGACCTGGTAATGGATATGCATAAGCCTCCGGCTCTGTAGGTTCCTATTGTTACCATGTTTGGGGGCGCAGCTGAGGGGAGGGACAGGGTGCCGATGTCTTTTTCTTTAAGCGTGTTAATATTGATTTTAGAAGCTCTGTGTTCCAACAATATAAATGCAAATGCCTTGTAATTGGGAGCCGCGTGCAGAATTTCTCAACAGAAAACATGTTCAACTTTTCATGACAATGAAAGGAAAATAAAAAGCCGCTTATTTATTGCTGATGGTTTGGGTCCTGGATTTCCTTTCAAGTTACTTTGCAGTGCTAAATAAAATACCTAATTGCAGTGCTCACAAAATTCAAATGGATACATTTGTTCTTCTGGTAGCTTACAACTATTTGCAGCCTCTGGACACCCTCAGCATTATTTCAGCACATCCATAACTTCTGGTTGCGCTGTAAGGAAAAGCTGGGGGGGCGGGGGGGGAGACTTAGAAGCCCCAAATGCTGCTGGCACAAATCACTGCTGAAGTTGGAACGTGTACTCAGTGTTGGAAATGGAAATGGGTGAGGATCTCAAGGTAGCACTTACAGATGATCAGACTCTGATAAGAGAGGAAGTGTCAGTGAACCTCTTCCTTTTAATTCCCTTATGTCGCTCACCTCCACCTTTCCCACCTGGGAAGAAGCAGCGAAGGTCCTTGGCGGTGGAGATGGAGCTGAGCGTGTTGAGCTCACTGGGCTGCTGTGAAACGTGAGAGCACGCCCGGCTGCCTTCCTGCATCACGGTCTGTTGGGGGGTTGTGTGTGTGTGTGTGTGTGTCTAAGTGCTCACCATTTCATAATAATTACTAATGAAATTCTAGATCTGTAATAACATTTTGGATATCTAAAACAAACCATATGCTTGTTAAAAAAAAAAAAAAGAGAGAGAGAGAGAAAAAGTGGAAACAGATCAACTTTAAGCCATAAATTCTTGGTAATAGAGGCCTCTTTTTCTTTTCCCCCCTTTCTGTTTATGTTTGATAGATATTTTTGTTTCTGCAGGAACGTCAACTCTTAATTTCATGATGTATCATGGGCTTAAGAAAATTGAATTTAATAAAGGCAAAAGATGAATGGCACCTTTAAAGGTCCCAACACTTGTCTTTATTAGCAGGACAAACTGCAGGGTCTCCAAACACTGCTTCTCTCCAAATGAAAGTTTAAATGAAAAGTACAGCAGTGTCACAGGTTAAATTTCATTGCAGGACTGGCTAACGTCGTTAGTGAGGAGTGGGGCTGATTTCATGGGGCTGGTATCTGTTGCCTTAGATACCAGTGGAGCAAACACTGCCAGGGACTGGAAAAAATCTCTGCTATAGGAAGCGTGCAGATAAACAGCCTTTTGGGAAAGGTCCTTTACCACTTGCTTCAAAAACTGACCAAATAAGCCCAAAAGAGCGGCTGCACTTTCTCCTGAGACGCTCAAGTCACTCCTGGGGTTCCACCCCCCCTCCTGGCCGTGTGCTTCCCACAGACCTGTAGTAATTCTAGATATTGTTAAATTTTCCATGTTTTTTTAGTACAGCTTTTTATTTCCTCTGTCTGTCTTAATCCGACCCTCCTGGAAGTGCTTTTTGCCTCTGGTTCTGGAAGGCAAGCGACGCCTTTGTGTATCAGATCAGCGGCAGGGCTGTCTTTCAGTCTCGCTTTGCATCCAGCCGCTTGATGGCCCCTGAGGATGTTCCGGGTCCCTTAGGACTGATCTCGGCATGGCAACGCAGCCCTGCTGTGAAATCCAGCCGGTGCGTGTGCCTCTCCAGGAGGGGGAACGCTCGTCTTGCCCTGCCATGGGCTTGCCCGCTTCTACGGTCACCCTGAGCGGAGTGCAGACCTAAGGGGCAACGAGCCGCCCCAGCCCGGTTTGAAGGATGGGGTGGTGTTATCCTGGGGTTAAGCCTGGCTCTGTTATGACATCCTGTCCGTTGGCTTCAAACTTCGCAGTCCATTTTCCTTCTGAACAGAAACTTGCATTTGGAGCCTATCTGTGGTAGCTCTTTTGAAGGGAGGATCAGCTGTGTCCAGCGTTTCTTACTCAGATTGAGTTTCTCATGTTTCCATGGGTCCTCCTGTGTGGCTGAGGCTGGCGAGTTTGGCTGCACCACAGTCGGCAATCTGGGCGATGCTCAGGTGCTTTGCCTCTGTCCTCCTCCATTTCCAGCCCACGGGTGGAGTTTTGTCTCTTTCCTTGGGAAACTTGGTGACTCCCGGTGGGGTGGTACAGCCATGGGGAAGGATGCGCCCAAACCTCCGCTTTGCCTTAGCCTGCACAGCACGCCCAAGTGTGGGCACAGCCGACTGCGGGGAAATAGTTAAGCCCTGCCTCCTCTGCAGCTTGACTGCTCGGTGTCTACACCTGGGCACTTCAGCACTGTTAACACTTTATTTTATTTTAGTTTTTTTTTTTCTAACTTTCCATCTCAGCGGCACGTGCTCCCTGCGTGCCCTGGGCTGGGCTGTGTGCCTGCTGCTCCAGGGAGCCGCTCTGTTGCGGCCATGGGCTCGGTCCACCATGGAAATTGGGTGTTTCTCCTGGCTATTTAAATTATTTGTTGTTTCCATTTACCCACCCAGCTTCTTGCCTGCCCTCTGCCTGCCGGGGTGGTGATGTCATCAGCTCATATGTATGACCTCACGATAATTTCCGCCTGCGGGTCATGAGGGTTGCAGCCAGGGTCCAAAAACTGTGTTAGTTCCTCTGCAGCGGCTGCATTTTCACATGCTAATCACCAAGTGTGGCACAGCCGACCGCGGGGAAATAGTTAAGCCCTGCCTCCTCTGCAGCTTGACTGCTCGGTGTCTACACCTGGGCACTTCAGCACTGTTAACACTTTATTTTATTTTAGTTTTTTTTTTCTAACTTTCCATCTCAGCGGCACGTGCTCCCTGCGTGCCCTGGGCTGGGCTGTGTGCCTGCTGCTCCAGGGAGCCGCTCTGTTGCGGCCATGGGCTCGGTCCACCATGGAAATTGGGTGTTTCTCCTGGCTATTTAAATTATTTGTTGTTTCCATTTACCCACCCAGCTTCTTGCCTGCCCTCTGCCTGCCGGGGTGGTGATGTCATCAGCTCATATGTATGACCTCACGATAATTTCCGCCTGCGGGTCATGAGGGTTGCAGCCAGGGTCCAAAAACTGTGTTAGTTCCTCTGCAGCGGCTGCATTTTCACATGCTAATTTTACTCACAGGAGTTGGATTTTTTTTTTTGTTTTTTATTATTTCTTATTTGTCTCTTCCAGATGTTTTCAGGCAGTTTTTTTTGTTGTTAAACTAATTCCATTCATGTTTTAAAAATTTATGAAAGCGCTAATAAAAATGTCAAAGTGGTAAAAATGTTAGCTTTTGCTCTGCTTTGATTAAATTTTGCAAACTGTTTTTGAATATTAAAAAGCAATATTTTTTTTATTCTCTCTCCCTCTCTCTGTTTCTCTCCAGAAGTGATTTGAGAGGCTTGTTGCATGGATATCACTCAGCGGGCTCATTTGCACTCCAGAACCTTGGTGCCATGCATCTCTATTAAATAACATAGACAAATTATTCTTTAAAGACACCAAACAAATTGTCACTTCTCCTCTTATATTAAACTGGAAGAAGGAGAGGGAGTGGAGAAGGAGGGGGGTGAACACAAAGGATTTTATCGCTTTTATTCAGTGGTCGGCTTTTTTAATTTCATGTATATTTTTTAATAATTGAGAAATCCATCACAACTGGATTTGTTTAAACTTTTTATTAACAGGTCCATGTAAATTTTTGATTGCTGATTATTCAAATAATTGAACATTCTTCTGATGAAGGAACGTTTTTATTTCCCTATCAGCATAAATTGGCTACAAAGAGGAAGATTAAGCAGGGCTTGCTGCTGTGCCGTGTCCCATAGGGATGGATTTTAGGGGAGGCTTCCAGCTCCTCTCCTCACTCTGTTGGAGGAGAGCAGCGCTCCTCAGCTTCTCTTGGGAAGGAGGTGCTTCATGCAGTAGCTCCTGTTGTCTGTCTGGTGGTGTCCTCTAAAAGGACAGCAAGGTGGAGAGGATGGGACTGGACTTGGGGAAGGCACAGCCCCTGGGGTGTCCTTGCTGAACAGACGTGAGCCCGTTGCACGTGTGTCTCCACGTTCCCTGGGAGGTGCCAACACGTGCAGGTGGTGCCAGGCTGTCTTCCTTAGGTTCGGCTTAGGCATCGATGTGTGTGGTTGCAGCGCTGAGCACAGAGACATCCCTGCCACCCGTCCCAGCTGTGATGAGCATCGGCACCATCCTCCTCTGTGCTCACAGTGTTGGATGTGCTCTGCGCTCCGGCACCACTTTCCCCCTCGTAGTGCAGAGCTTCATGTCAGGCTTGTTTTTGTTTGGGACTGTCAGGCCCCTCTTTTTACAGCCAGCTTGCTAGGCGGGATCATTTCCAGCTTCATTTTTTGTTTGTTTTAAATGAACAGCTGCTTTTCTTTTTGCTCTATTCAGGAAATCATCGAATTCCCTATCCTGAAGCTGAATGGCAGGACGATGGAGATTGAATCCACCTTTCACATGTATGTTCAGCCTGTGGTGCATCCCCAGCTTACGCCCTTCTGTACAGAGGTAAAGTGCAAAGGTTCCCCGGTGCTCCAAGAGTCTCCCTGGGAAGCAGGTTTCCATTGCACCGGGGGTTGGGGTCGCCTCTTCACGGTGCGGCTGCAAGGCAGTGTGTCATGCCAGCCTCGAGTTAAGGACAAGGAGAATCATTTTTTGTCATTGCAGTAGCATGTGAAGACCTCAGTTTGGATTCATAAATAACTCTAGCTGTGATCTGCTAACTAAGATCAGTTGTATTTACAAGTAACAAACGTCTTCCTGGGTGACCACAAAATAAAAGCATGCATGTTAGCTGATGCTCAAAATCCCGTAGCCTCCCTGTGAGCTCTTCGTGATTTTGCCGTGCAGCACTGTGGTGGGGAAGGTCAGAGAGAGCGCGGTCTGAGGGAAGAAAGTGTCATACTGCTGCATGGTTCAGAGGCTGTAAATGACTCTCCTATGGGCCTGCCTGTTGGGATTTGATGAGTCCTTCAGAGTGGTAGGGTAACCTATTTTTAAGACTTTCTTTTTGATGTCGTGCTTGTGGGGCACTTGAAATGATTGCTGGAGAAGTGGCCTCTTGTTACTCGGTTACTCTCATTGCTGAGGACAGCTGCTCTCGAGCTGCAGCCACCTTTCCCCAAATACAGATGGGAGGATGAAGGTGGTAAATGTGATCCCTGATGGTTCAAAGGAATAGGGGGGCAGAGGTTGTTTTTTGGTTTTGGGTTTTTTTTATTATATTTTCTTCATTCAACACAAAGTTAACTGTTTCCGCAAGTGCGTTCTTCCTCCCTGCTGTAGCCATTAAAACAAAGTTTCTAAGTTCCTTTTGCTTTGGGCTTTTTTGCTGTTACTCTACTGTTTTGATATTGGCCAGCTCAGCGACTGAAGTACTGACTATGGGAGTCAGGGTATCCAAGTTCTTCGTTCTGTCCTGGTCTCATCTGGGATCATCGACACCATGGTGTGTCTTCCCTGACCTCTGTGGCTGCAGGTTTAGGTCCTTGAAGTGCTTGTCCCATGTGTACTAACTTGATGAAAAATGACTCCTCTGTGTCAGGTGGAGTCCCCTCCGGGACCAGCCAGCCCCTTCCATATTTCCATGTTGTAAAAACAACTACTTTTCTTTTTTTTTTATTCTCTTGTAACTAAAAACCAGCTGAAGGTATTTTATTTAAACTTTAAAAAAAACCCCAAGACTAAGCACAGAAAACATTATTCCCGGGAGAGGGGCTTTCAGAAAGCTATAAATGTGTGAAAACAGAGGGCTGTAATGGAAACAGTTTTGCAACCTTAATACTAGAAGGCTGGACAACTACTTTGGCTGTCCTTATCCTCATGAGACTTGCTGGACATATGCTTGTACAAATGTGATAAATCTCACAGCTTGCACCTGATCTTTGCTAAGAGCGACGTCATCTTCTAGAGTAGAGCCCAAAATGTCTGTTTTGCATGTCATCTACACTCTAGAGAGAAGTCGTCTCGCTTATTGACTCCCACCAAAATCCCTTTTTCTGGAAGTTCATCTGTTGCATCCTTCCCCCCGCTGCTAAAGGTTGCAGCTCTGTTGTTGCACGAGAGTCTGCATGTCTTGCTTGCTGTGGCTGTCTGAGCTGAACGGAACCTCCAGCCTGCTGCAGCCTGAGGACATTGAGAGGTTCTCTGGACACCAAGCTTGTGACAGAGACATTCAGCCCATCTAATGCTCCCTCACCGTGGTGCCAGTTTCTTTGCCTTCTCTTGCTCTCGGGAGCCTGGAGCAGCTGTTTGTGTCCCTGCAGGTTCGTGTCTCCTGCGTGGAGCCCTTCAGCAAGTGAGGCCATGTGTGTGTGCTGGCCATGCATTTGCAGGAGTCCCCAGGATGAGCATGGGCATCACAGCTGCAGCGTTGCGCTGCAGATTCTGCTGCTGACTTCGGTCTGGTGTCTTGTGTCCAGAGTTGGATAAAAATGGGCAGTGCTGAGGCCAGCAGGCAAAATGATCACAGGACCCCCACCGGTGTGTATCGGTGGCACAAAATGGTTCAACTCGCCAGGTTTGGCAAGTTCTCTGTTATTAACAGCGTGGGTTAGGGAGCTGGTTTTAATCCTAGCCTGGAAGCCACCGGCTCCTGGGCAACCCCCGACTGCGCCCGTGCTGCTGGGTGCACAGCATGGCCCCTGTCCCTCCTGGCTTGGAAGTCCCCCTGCCTGTTGCAAGGGGCTGCCATGAGGTCCAGGGAGTGGGGTCGTACTGGAGGGGTAACTGGGCTTGTCCCCGGGCCCCACATCTGGGGCTGACTTTGAAACCCTGCCCTAAGAGCCACAGGTGAGCTGGTTGTACTGAGGACCTTACTAAACAGTTGCAAAAATATCCTTTCATATTTGCAGCCGCTTTTTTTGCAGAGGCTGTAGTGGCCGTGTAGAGACCTGTGGGGTTGGTGGCTCCTGCTAGGCAGGTGCAGGGGTCAGCCCCGTGCCGCTGGTGTAGGTTCCCCTGAGACCCTGGGGACACAGCTGGGGTGTGCTGTGTGTCCAGCTCCTGCGGAGCTGCTGCCTGCACAGCTCCAGCGATTGCCACTGACTTTCAGCTGTTTTATGTTTTCAGAAAAATACCCATTTTGCTAAATGCCAGTAAAGGGCTTTGTCTAGGCACCTCTACTTACAAAGGGTGAGATTTATTGGCCTCTTTGTCTACAAAGAAAGACCAGGCCTGATTATCAGATTGTACACCAGAGACAAGTGCTTAGGTAATCAGCAAACTGTCTTGGAGTAGAAATACGATGGTTTCCCAGATAAACTGTAGGAAAAGCAGTGGTGTTTACATTACACGGGAGCCTGTCTGCTGTGCTGCTGCTTTCCCCTTTCCCCTCCGCTCGCTGCCTTTGCTGGGAAGCAATAGGACTGCTTGGTATAGACTCTGTGTGGGAGGATTACCGGGGTTGCTCGACATTACTCCTTGGGTCTGGAGTACCTCTCACATCCCTCTTCTTTCTTGAAGAAGACAGCACAGCACGGGAGGGGTGTCTGCAAAGGTGGAGAGCTGGTGGTCACCCTCAAGGCATCCCTCTGCTTAGCTTTTGGTGTGTCTTTGTTCTCCCCTGGCTACAGGAGGTTCTTCCAACTTCCCACGCAATGGCCAGGAGCACATCTTCCAGTGCTGGCTCACTCTGTAGCCCTCATCTGGTCCCCTTTCTCTTGACCTGCTTCTGTAAAACAACAGGTCATGAGGCTTGGTAATAATGAACGTTTAGACAGAGAAGGTGGAAAGTGCTTGCAAGTGGTTAAAAGCTGTTGTTAGGTATATAAAGCTCATCATACCCTTTTGGAAGATGCAAGTGGTTTGTCTGATGCCCAAGAAAGTTCATACCAGAAGCTTAAGTGAAAGGTTTCCTCTACACAGAAGGTGCTTGTACAGGCTTTTTCATGGTACTTTGCTCTCTTTTTATGATTAATTTTTATTGATTTTTTTCCTGAGGGAACAGACAATAAAAGTACAAAAAGATAAATGCCTTATAGGTTGTTTATGTTCCCAAGTACCATGTGCTTCTTGGGATCGCCAGTGAAACTTTACAATTGTGCGGTTTTATGTTTTTATACTTTATCAAAGCTGCAAGACCAGATAATGCTGCAGAGACCCAATGCACTAGGTTGGTTGGGTGTGGCAGATGGACGTAACTGATAACAGAAAGGATCAGAAAGGGTGAGAGAGTAGAAATCTGGTCCCTTTTGAGCACTCTCTGACCTGTATTGAAATGTACCCATGGAGCAGGTATATCCCTTTGTATTCGTGTGTGCGATTTCTGCAGCATGAATCTTGTGTGCATGTGTGCTTGGCAATGTGTTCTTGTACGGATAAGTTGGTACTTTGTTTGGCCTGGCAGGGAAGGAGGGAGGGAGTCTCGGGCAAGATCAAGCAGTGACTCTTTGATGGGACCTCTGCGTCCGCCTTCCCATCCCTCCCTCCTCCTGATGGGAAATGTCTGGATGAGGCCATTTCACCCTCTCCTCCCGTGGCCATCAGGGGTGTGGTGCTGAACAGATGCAGTCCTGAAGGTGCCTGGAGCGGTAGAAGCCATTTACATCAGTGCTGGCCATGATACTGAAAGGTTGCCTGTCATTCTTAGTGCAGGAAGGACATGGACCTGTTGGAGCGGGTCCAGAGGAGGGCCACAAAAATGATCAGAGGGATGGAACACCTCTCCTATGGAGAAAGGCTGAGAGAGTTGGGGTTGTTCAGCCTGGAGAAGAGAAGGCTCTGGAGAAGAGACACCTTACTGGGGCCTTTCAGTACTTAAAGGGGGCTTATAAGAAAGATGGGGACAGACTTTTTAGTAGGCCCTGTTGTGACAGGACAAAGGGTGATGTTTTTAAACTAAAAGAGGGTAGATTCAGACTAAATATACGGAAGAGGATGCCCCATCCCTGGAAACATTCCAGGTCAGGTTGGACGGGGCTCTGAGCAACCTGATCTAGTTGAAGATATCCCTGTTCATTGCAGGGGGGTTGGACTAGATGACCTTTAAAGGTTCCTTCCAACCCAAACTATTCTATGATTCTATGATCCTTTCCCAAAAGCTCATCTTTCAGCCACTTCCAGAGGTTTGATTTGAGCTGCCCTCTGAGAGGCAGAGCCAGCACTTTGCAGTAGGTGAGCTGTCCACCTCTGTCGGGCGAATGCATGGAGAGAGAGACAGCAAGAAAAGCAAAACACAAGCCAGTGAGCTTAAAAAACCGCTCTAAAGAGCTGTGCGTTAATCTCTCCAAATCTATTTGCCTCTCAGAGTATGGGAAGTCTGTAGGTAGCAGCTGTTACCCAATTAAAATACAGATTAATATAAAAACAGTTTCTGGAATATGAAAGAGTGTCTGTGTCCCTCCACTTCCTTAAAAGCCCACCTCATAATGGCTTGATGAACTTGAGAAACCCACCTAGAGGAACTCTGCATTCTTAAAATTAAAATACTTTCCCTAAAAGGTATATATTACCATTCCATGGAAGTCACTATGAGAAAATAATCTTTCCACTTACAGCTTATTCAGTGAGTCAGGTATTTGGTATTCATTAAATGTAATTACAGTTTAATTGGAGTTTAATCTCTTTTTTTTTTTTTTTCCTTCCTCCGAGTTCAGTGCTGTAAGCCAAGCAGCCGAAGAAACAGAGAGGTAGAAACCATTGAGCTTCTTTCATTTGCCACACATTTAATAAAGCAGACCCCTGCGGTTTGTGAGAGGGCTTATATTTTACGAGTAGGTTGAGCTGGTCTGCATGGAAGAGCTACTCCTGGGTGGTGGTGGGGCTGTCAGCACCTCTCGACTGGACGCTATGGCTTCTGGAGGCTTGGATGTGTGTGCAGGCAGCAGGGCATGCTCCTAGGCTGTGTTTGATCTTTATTTTATGAAAACGTGAGAGATGTGTAGCTTCAGGAAAGTGCCATATGAAGTGAAATCCTGTAGTGTGCACTTGTTTTAATAATGATTTTTTTAATTACTTGGGTGCATTGATGGCAAGCTACTGACCTCCGATATTCAATATGTTAAAAGACAGTTTTGTCAGTTGGAAGGCAGACAGAAAAATTATCTGTTTTCCATGTGCCTCAAGCTATCCTGGGCAGACAATGGCAGAGGCCCATGAGACTGCATCTTTTTATGCATGTGTCTAGCTTTAAACAGCCAAGCAGTCCGGGTACAGTCAGTAGGACTGTCTGTTGGCAGGACCTGTTCTTAAGGAACCTCCTGAAAAACAGGGTAGACCAGGGTTCTGGAAGAAAGTGGTTTTCTTCAGATTTCATTCAGTTTTAAATACAATTTCGAAATGCAGAGGGATGCTGTGATGGACTATGGGAAATCGTGCGTGCTGGCTGCCCAGCGCAGGGGAGGATGACTGGGTCCACTCTGGGTCTCGCTTACCAATAGTGGTCTGTTCTGTTCATCTAACACTGTGCAATTTTGGTGTCACCGCAGTAGCAGGGGAATGGCCAGAGACCCCAGTAGTTACCGCTGCCTGTGTAAGTGAGGGCAACATCAAAGCTGGTGAAATGCATGTTGAAAAAGGGCAGCATTTTGGGTATCATGGTGGTACATGAAACAAAGGGCACCACTGCTCCCCAAGTAGATCCTGCCCTGCTGAGAGTTTGCTGTTTTATGGTATTGTTAGGAGCCCCCCTACATTTCTGTGTTTGGGATGAAGCTGTGCCCTTGCCCGTGGCTGTGGAGGTGCCAGGGTCACTCTGCTGTGGCTGGCTCCTCGCCAATGTCCACGTGGGTCACAGGAGGATGTTTTGGTTGCAGCAAGATGGACAGGAGAGGAGACCTCTCTAATGATCTTTTGAGTGCTGCTCTGACGCCTGCTTTCTGTTTGTCTCTCATTTCAGCTGACTGGGATTATTCAAGGCATGGTGGATGGGCAGCCAAGCCTCCAGCAAGTGCTTGAGGTAAGCAGAGTAACCTTTAGTTCCTGAACCCTGACCTCTGGTCCTGTCGTCCCCTCTTCATCTTTCCCTGCACCCTCCCCTTGCTGAGAATCGAACCGCGTAATTTGACTATGATTACAGCTTCATTAGAATAACATTTGCTGTCACATTGGTGACATGCTGCTGAGAGTATTGAACCATTGATCTGTCATCTCCAGCTGTTCATGTCAAGGGTGCTGACAAGATATCCAAACTCCTGCCAGTAGATAGGAGAAGAGGCGATTCTTGCTTGAGCCAGTTTTAAAGCACCAAGACATTGCTCGAGACCACTGCTCTGGGAGCTTCTGCCTTCATTTTCTTTCCCCTCCCTCAGCACTTTATTAAATTATTTTTTTTCTACCTATTTAAATGCTCAATAATACATGTAGTATAGAAAGAAAATGCCTCTAAAATCTAATCTGGAGGATGTGCGAATGCAGATATAGCCCTAGTAATGTCATCTGCTTAATGTTGAATTCCTACAGCATTTAGGGCTTAATTAGCTTGGAAGTATTTCTCCATCAATAGCTTTTGTTGGTAGTCAAATAGTGAAGGAAACCTCCTCAAGCAGAGCCCGCTCGAGCTGCAGGTTGCTGTTCAATGCATTGTCTCTGTCAGGATTTCCACCACTGTGTCACCTAATTGTTCCTAATCAGAACAATTGCAACAATTGCTTATGTGAGGAAATCAAATTAAAGGCTTTAAAATCCTCCATGGAGACAGCACTTCACGGGCGCCCACATCAGGGAGTTTAGAAAGGTTACCGCTGCTGTCCCTCGCTCCGGGAAGCCTTGTGCGGGGCTGGCTGTAAGATCCCAGCAGCCCAAGGGAGGCAAAAATGGGGCTGAGAGGCTGGATGCTGCTTTGCGGGGAGCTTTATGCCAGAGGGACATTGTACAATTGGTCGCAGAAAGAAGTGCCGTCCTCTGTCGGAAAGGCTGCGGCAGTGACACGAGGCCGAAGACGGTGCTCTGTGGAGGTGACGTTTCGCATCCATGCAAACTCCCAACTCTCACCGGTCCCTGGTGCTCTCCAGAGAGCACGTAGCAGCAGTGCATGTCCGTAAGCATACAGATGCCTGTGCCTGCTTCCCCAGGAGGGAGAGCCCTCTTTGTCTGGATGGGTGAACGTACATCACTGCTGGAGTATTACAGAAAATGGTTCATTCAGTTTCTACGGGAGCTTCTTACAGCATGGAAACATTTCTGTAGATTTTTTTTTTTTATTTGGACTGAAAAGGTGTTCATACAGCAGCATGTTTCTAGGTTAAAATGAGATTCAGGTCATGCAGCTTCTGGGGCATGCTAGTTTACTCAGGAGCAGAAGGTGTCAAGCGAGGGAAAAGAGGAGGGATTTCTCTTGCTGAAGCACTGGAAATGCTGCTAGTGAGGCTGCATAATAGCAGCTGATTGCCTGTCACCTGCCACCGGAAGATTCTGGGCATGTCATTTGCTAGTTCTATCTGGAATAAGTGTCTATGCAGGGGTTTTAGTCTAGGTTAGTTCCTTCTGGTTAATCCCCGAGGTGGATGTGTATCCTGCAAGTTAATGTGGCCCATTTCTGAAGTAGATCCAGAACATCTGTCCCTTTGGGAAGTTGATCAGGAATAGCGGATTCACTTTAAATCCACACTGTACCCTGAGCAAGCACCTCCTCGGAACTCTAAGGAGGAAGGAGAGACCCAGCCTGGAGAGGAAGGGGACGCGTGGCTTTGCTTGTTACTACTGCACAGGGCCTGTGTGTGCCCAGCCCTTCTATTTCTCCTCCTCTCCCATATTCCCTTGGAGCTGTATGAATCAGAGCATGTCAGAAATGCTGTAGGTGAGGGATGCCGTCCCAGGATGCCTGTGTTTTCTCCTCACTGGAGGGGACACAAGTTATGCTCACTGCGAGCCCATGTGGAACAGGGAAAGGAAGAGTGGAGGAGGAATGCCAGGTAACAGTGCGGTTGTATCATCCTGTTAACGCTGCACAACTTCCATCCCTCCACGAGCAGAGCTGCTGTGGTGTCTGATAAGATCATCTCTGCTCTGGTTTCCTATCGGAAATCTTCAAAGGTCCAAACGTGCTGTTGTTGAGATGGCAAGCAAAGAGAGAAGAGAGAGAGGGAGAGGGTGGATAAGATCACAATTTTCTTCTCTCTTGATTGCAAGCAGCTTATCTGTTGTGGCTCGGCCTGTCTGCAAAACTCATCCCCTTTTCTTGCCTTCCTTTCAGAGGGTTGACGAGTGGATGGCGAAGGAAGGCCTCTTAGATCCCAGCGTCAAGTCGATTTTTGTGACCTGTGGAGACTGGGATTTGAAAGTGATGTGAGTATGGAAGGGGAGGGAGATTTTTCTGGGTTTTATTGCTCCATGCTTGCCTGTAGCGTGTGTGTCTTTGTCCTTACAAGCCTTCGACTGTGCCTAGTCTTTGTTTCCTAGGGAAATTGTTGTTTGCCATGCATAATTGGGAGTGGAAGGTTAAGACGACAGGTAGGTGCTGGGTATAGTGCAAGATCACTGCCTAGGATATTCCCTATAGTGAATTAATCCTTTCAGAACCCCAAGAAAGATTTAAACTGGAGTTTTGTGATGTTTTCCCTTTTATCTAATATGCTTTCCAAAGGGATGGGTATTTCTGAGCGCATACATGGAACTCTGTTTCTGTACACCCAAATCAAGCAATGGTCCTTACCTGACTTGCGCATGCAAGGTTCTCTCTCTGTCATCTTGGCACACTAACTGGATGTGAATCACAGAGCAGTCTTTGGAAGGAGAGTACTAGCCAAGTCTGGCATGCTTCGTCGGTGTTCTAATCGTTAAGGTCATCTTCATCAGCTGGGCAACTGTATCTGCAGAGTACCAGGTGGGGACCTGCACTGGGATCTGCAAGTGTCAGTGTATGTGTGTATTTTGTTATGAAAATAGCTAGACCACCAACCTAAAATCTGTAAGGTGTTTGCAGATCAGTGTCATATTGTGCTGAATTCACTTGGATTCCTGTAATCTCGCTTCAGCTTTTCATTTCCTCAGAGCGCTGGGTAAAGACTCCTGTTGTTATCACACTGGTAAAGCATGGGCTTGACACATCCAATGCTAAGCTGACATCCACAACTCGTTAGTAACGTTACTTGGTTTTCTGTGTGACATTGGTTTCCCCAAGTCGGAAGCCTAAATAAACTGCATACAGCCTGGGAGCAATCAGCACTAGTTCTTCCCTGCAGAGTGGTCTTTGTAGAGTGGCAGCCCCTTGCCTCTTCTTGGTGTGATAAGCGAGACATGAGATATGAGGACTGAAGCAGCAGCGCAGGCGCTAGTGGAGATGAGAAATTTGCCATGCTCCAGACAGGAGTGCGGTATGGGAGCTTTTGAGTCAAAAGCTGGGTCTCTGCTGGGGCTGTGTCCAGAGCTGGTAAATATTGCCAATTCCTGTGTTACTGGTTTAAATTAAGTGAGGCTTATTTTTCTTTATATATCATGTTTAAACTTTTATTAGAGACCAGCACCAAGACAGCTGCAGGGATGTGCTAAACTTCTGTTTCTCATCTGTTCTCTTTTCTCAGTTCTTTACTCCTGTACTGCTGTTCTGAGAGTCCAGTTTACTGCTTTTGGTGATGGTTGTGAGGAGCAGAGTTATCTGTGCTCAAAGCCCATCTTTCCACCGCTTTCACAGTGGGATAACAAGGTTTCCAGATAACGACATCCTAACTTGGTGTGTGTATGGAGTGGGCAACCTTCTGGATGGTTTTTTTTTTGCTTCAGAGGTCTACAGTGGGCAAATAGAGGTAAAGATGAGCCCCATTTCTGGTGAGTCATAGGGGTTGTGGGGTGAGCTGGCTCAGCAGGACATGCAGTTCTGGAGCAGAGATACTCGATTCGCCATTTGCAGTGGTCTCTCGCATGGATTGTGCCTCACTAGTCAGCTGGAAAAGAAGACTCCACTCCTGGCCATGAGGTCGCAGCGAGTGGTTCATTTTTCCCTCTTCCTTTTAAAAAATGTTTTTAAACCATTAACTTCAGAATTCAATCCTGAAGCATCTCCAGGGCACAGCAGAAAATACATTTCGTGTTTCCAACCACATGGATAGCGGGAGTCTGGCTGCAGCCACTTGGTGAGTAGCACATCACGCCGCTCCGTCGCCGATTGGGTGCAGCAGCGTGTAGCGTCACATCTGATTAGTGCCGTGCCAGTGAATGAGGCTTGAGTGAGGACTCCCTGCCAGCTCTGACTTGTCTCATTTCCCATTACTTTTATCCATCACCACAAATGCCGAGTCTCCCTCCTGAACTAATTAAGTTTGCGTGTGTTTAGACACATTGCCAAATAGGGTTTAGCAAAGCAGAACTGAGCAACTCTTTAAAAAGAGGGAAGGCAGAAAGCTGAAACAAGGCCGCTCAGGGAGGGAGATAGAGCCTCAGAGGTGTGGAACATCTAGGACGTATTCCAGGGAATCACCCCATGCTTCCCTACAAGACTTGTGGTGTAGCAGGTGCCCTTTGTTACCGTGTGAAGACCACATGCTGGGCACAGAAGGCACTGGGGCGGTGGGAAGGGACGTGGTGCTGCTTGTCCACATTTGGAGGAGTGTGTTGGTGGAAACATTGCGTGTTAGAAACCCCGCTGGGTTCCAGAGGAATTCAGGACAATGAGGTGAGTGCAGCGCTTCCTGGCTTAGGGAGTGGCAACTTGGGGCAGGTCCGTTCCTAACTCTGCTGCTCCTTTTCTCAGCTCCCTTAGTAATGACAGCTGCTTGCACAGCTGCCCATGAAGCAAGCTGCGGTCCTCTTACCCAGTGTCTCGTGTGGTTTGGAGTTCCTGTCCTCTGTTCTCCTTAGCTCGGCTGGTGGTGGGAAACCATGCAGCCTTGTTCCTGGCTTCTCCAGCAATGACCTGGGCATTTAGTTTGGCTTCTGTCTGCATGTGCTGTTGAAGAGGTGAGGCATGGTATCTTCTGGACAGGCCTGTCTGCTGTGGGTGTTTCCAGCGGGTGCCACTGGTAGGTGGCCAGGGCACTGGGAGGCACAGTGGGGTGAGCAAGCTGCGTGGGCGGTAGTGGCTGGAACAAAGAGGAGGAATATACAAGCCTGTCAGTGGTGGATGTGGGGTCAAGGTGTGAGCAAATAGCCCTGTCAAAGCCAGGAGCTGCAATATGTGTAGCACTCCTAGCTCAAAGAAAAGCACCAGAGGAGTAGCAATTGTCAAGGTGCTGCTCTCTGCTGATGGTGTCTAGCACTATCTGAGTCTGCAGGATTCAAGATGGAAACTCAGCTGCTAAAGGACCTGTGAAGCTTCTGCTTGGCTTGGGGATCTTCAGGGAGTGAGGCACTGTATGGCTGCAAACTTGACTTCTCTTGAGCGTTGGAGCTTTCTTGGAAGATCACAGAGCTGTTTGTCTGGCTTACCTCTGACAACAGGGAACACTAGTCACAAGGAGCTGGGTGCCCGGAAGAGGACAGCAAGCATCTGGGAAGGGCTTATGGAGGTTCAGCATGAGTCAAGGTCCTTGGCCGTGCCACCAAAGGCTTTGTCATGGGCGTGGTGCACCATCAGAAAGAGAGTCCCTGTTGGAGGGATTTGGTTGCTGCTGGAGAGAGCCCGTTGCGCGAGAGGGCTCAGAAATGGAGCGCTGATCCTCTACTGGCTGCGCTTGGATCAACCGGCTTTCAGCACTCGGTGTGTGTGAATCAGGGGAGTCGGGGAGACAGCAGCTCTCTTGCCACCCCTCCCCTTCCCTCTTGTTAAGATGCAATTTCTTTAATGAGGAAAACCTCTTGAGTAGAAACATCACCTTTCTGAAGGCTTGTCCTGACAAGGCAGTTCAAGCCGACAGAGTCGCATATCAACTTCAGCAAATATCAGTCACTCATTACAGAGACTCTTCTCCCCCCCATCCCCCAGCAACACCCCTCATTCCCAGACAAGGGAATGAATCACACTCCTGCTCTTGAATACATCATGACAAGTCGTGGTTCTAATGAGAGAGGGCCATTCATTCTGGGTGGAAAGTTCCCTGTGTCGACACAGAAATGTTATTAATTAAAGAGAGCTACCTGAAGCAAAAGATGAAAGGAGCACCAGACCTGCCAAGCTAAAATATGAGTGGGGATACAGCCTCGTTAGGCACACGGTCCTCGGGCCTCCGAGTGCTCAGCAGGAGGATTCCTTTAGCCTGTTGCAAGGAGCTATCCTCCAAGTTTAACAGCTCCAGGGCTGGATTCAGACACCTGGTGTAGTCTGCTTTAGTGCTTGGACCTCATCCTGCATCTAGGATGGAACTGTCACTAGTGATTAAGCAAATTGCATTGATGTGGCATTGGGTGGTGAGGGTAACATGCCTCTGAAAGGCTGAGGGAGCCGCTGACTGCAGGAGATGGTTTTAGTGGAAAGAGGGTACTCGGTGTCTACCAGGGTTGAGCCCTTGTAATGTAAGCTCTTTAGTGTGGTTTATCTCCTCTGAAACGTCAAATTGCCTCCCTCCGTGTATGGAACCGGTTTACCTGCTCTTAAGCACAATGTGAATTAATCTTGGCAACCAAAGAAGCATTTTTACTGTGTGTTCATAGAGCTGAGATACGGTGAGGTTAAGTGATATGCCTGTGGTCGTGCAGGCAGGCAGAGGCAGAGAAAGGAGCTGAATCTCAGACCTGCATCTTAATGTCAAGAGCATCAGTTAATCATTCTCCTTCCAGTTTTGGATCATTCTGCAAACACATTGAATGTAGGTGAACATGCATGTAGGCTTTGGTCTGTATACCTCCGACATGAAGATGCTTGTACTGCACTTACTGTGGCTGATCAGAACACGCTAATTTATGTCTTTACAGGAAACTACTGCTCAGAAGTTTTTTATTTCCTTAAGTAAGTGTTAAAAGGCAAGTACTCTCTAATACAGTGATAAAACACAGTGAAGTGTCTTGAAGTGTTTATAGCCCTTGGTGCTCTTCCTAGGTTGCATATTAGTAAATTCTGAGCAGTAAATTATACCATTGCTTAATTTTATCTTACTGTTTTAATTCTTTCTTTGCAAGTTAGCCAGGCTGGGAGGATGCTTGTCTTCTCAGACCAGCTCCAAGTGTGGCAGTGGGTTGGTCTTTCCAGCCTTCTGTCCTGGAGGCTTGGATTGAGATCAGCCTTAGGTCATGAATGAAGAAGGATTGATGGTATTAGTGTCCCCTGTGCATGCTGTATTTTATCACAGGACCGGGAGGGGGTTGGTAGCCTCTGCCTGGGGGAGAAATTGCAGACAGCCACTGAATGGAGTGAGTGGGACCGCTTGGGTAGCCGTGGGGAAAGGCAGGAGAAGGTGTAGGGTGGGCTGGTTGGGTGG